GCCAGCAGAACCCCGGGCGCCGGCAGAACTCCGGGCGCCGGAAGAACCCTCGGCCCGGGATCACGTGACGTCCATGCACGTGATGATCCGAGGCCTCGATGACTACCAAGAGAATGCTGAGGAACGACGTGACAGCAGAAGTATATCTTCTGCCCGTGGACGTAGCTAGCTCGGCAACGAATTCTTGCTCGTTTTAGGGAACGCTCGGCCTTAGGCTTAGCAAAGAAACCTAATATCCCTTATATATGATGTCTTTATATCCTAGACGCGCTTAAACTAGGCCTGGATAAGCTTTAGATCCTCGCATAATGCACGCTAGTAGTTGTACTTGCAATTCTATTTAGATAGTAAGTTGTTATAGCGCTTAATAAAGTTGTATGCCTATCGCTTACTAACCGGTCGCGCTCCAGGACGCTGCATAGCTAGCAGGCTGGCCATCTCCCGTACGGTGCTAATTTGTGGTGGCATACCGCGTTAATCTATTAACAGAATCTACTGCTTAAGGCTCTTTTCTTGTGCTGTTGTAAGACACCGGTTATTGGCAATAGAATCGCGTCTTGATTTGATGCCCTTGACGCGTAGCCGGGCAGTGCTCCGGGGCACATCGTACGTGCTAGTGGCCTTTCGAAAACTTGTAAACTCGCCTTGCTTGTGCGCATGAATAGCTAGATTGATTCTGCTCTCTCGATAGAGCGCTTCTTGTTGTTGTGCCGTAGGCATTGTAGTGGTAGTTGAGTAACGCGCTCACGCCTATGATGAGGTGGGCAGCTCGCTTGCATAGGTCATCTTGGTAGTGCTAAGATTTAAAAAGCGATGTCATGTACTCAGGTTGCCACTACTAGCGTGTCAGTGGCGTTACATCCTTCCATATCCGTAACAAGGGGGAACAGGGGAGTACCCCCCCCCCCCCTTTCATAGGCTATATATACGGGCCTTATGCCTCTTCAAATCAACACAGAACTGCTTCTTCACAACCTGAGACATGTGCCTGTTGCGCAACTCCTTTCTGCTCTCTCCCATCCTAGATACCACTCAAAACCAAACAGTCTGCCAGTCCACATATGGACTAGACTTGTTTTCAGTGAGGCACAATTTGATTTGCGTGATCACCTTGAGGGCGGATAGATTGTTAGGTGGCCTGCTTGCTCCTTCAATGTCGTGATCTGTTTGATATCAGGTTTCTTTCCTTTGGGAATATGTAGCATAGTTCCTTTAGCTAGTATATGCGCTGTCTAGAAGGTCATAGACTTCTAGATATATACGCAAAGAAGGACTCGATATAGGCGCAAAATTATGGAGAATTCTGAGGCATAGCTACTCCCATAGCCTGCTAGACTAGTCTTCTCTATTGTCTATTATCACGAGACAGGCATGCTGTTTCTAGCGTGATCTTAAGAAGAGAGCTTGTGTTTTGATGAGGCTACTGGTAGACAGAAACACGGCTTGCTATGATGTTAAAAACCTTCCTAGGTCATCCACTTTCCGAGAGTGCCCATCCTTTTTCTCAAGAGCGCCCATCGATTCTCTCCATAGCAGCCCGAACTTGATGACCCATAGATCCACACACTTCGTTTGGCTCATGAAACAACTTGATCTTGGCCGCCGATGCAACCCATTTAGCCCAGTCGACTCGCCGCTGAACCACCATCACATCTTCTCCCCTACTTAGGACAGCCATGACCGCATCCCCATCCAGATACTCGCCCAGCGCTTCTGCAACAAGACCCGGAGAGCGGGGATCGCGGTCATACTTCTTTGCTGTCTCCACCTCTTTCTGATACAGGCGCTCCACTCGGTCTATGACGTCGCTAAGAATCTCCATGGTCTTACCATGTCGGAGGTATTCTGGTATCAGGTCGCGGAGTGACTTGGCTTCCTCATCGGTACAGTGGTTCGAGCATCTAGTGAGCTTTTGGGAGCCAGGGATGAGTTGCGTAGGAGGCATTTTGGGAGCGACTTTACCCGCGTTAGATGGAATAAAACGGAGTGAAGGGCAACTGCGCTTATTTGAGGGGAAACGAGCTTAGGCACCTACCTATGAAATGCTTGGGATAGCGTCCTTTTGTAGCTGGCTGGCGGGATGTTTGCGCAGCGGCCGAGAATGCAGAGACTTGTTGTTCGTAGCTGATGGCTTGACGCTCTAATTTTAGCGTCGTGATTCAATCATGTTATCGTCCTGCGGCAACTATGTATGTGATACAACGTACAAGAACGCAAGTGTGCTATTACCTTTCGAAAAGATTCTTGTGCGTCTTCTCCCGGCTTTTCAAACCAAAACTGGAGGGAGCCAAGCTGCGGTGAAGCAGGTGGACCGTGAGTAGTTGAAAGCTCTTTGAATAAGGTCTGTGGGACTTGACGCTGTATCAAAGTTGTCTGGGGGCATAAGTTACCTCACCCAGTTGTAAGCGAGGTGCCCAGACTTACGGCAGGACACTGCCTCAGGCTGCTACTTGGCTGGCTGACTAACCACTTTTGGCATTGCCCACCTGCGACTGTTTGTTGACAACCTTGTCCGCACAACCTCGAGCGCTCGCTCCCGAGCCTCTCCACATCACATCGGCATCACCAAGTTCACGAGTAAGTAGGCAGGTCCATCTTAGCCCCTTATTACTATCTAAATACCTGCCTTCGTCCCAAACAAATACGTTCACTCCTATCAGAGATGGGCAGAATCAAACGCCACACTCGTGCCCAGAGACGCGCCGCCGAGAAGCGTCATTTCACTGCCAACAAAGCTCAAAGCGATGCTCGCCCATCTGTCACCGCCAGTGCTCCGATAGCCGGTCCTGTCCTGCCCGGTATCGCACTGCCAACTTCTAGGTACGATAGGAATCGCCAAACGCTGCTCTACAGTCCATTTCTAACATTCCTAGTCTGCCCATTAGAACCTTCATGCGTGGTCTGCAAGAGCCCACTTCTGGGGAACCACTCCAATCTGCTCTGGAAGCTCTCGACCAGGCCCACTACGCTATCATTGCCGCCAAAGACGCTTTGGCTCAGTCCCAAAACTCTATGCCATACCAATCGTATCCAGCCCCATTGCAGCCCACTGGCGCCGTCGAGTCCCAAGCTCCCGCCGAGTCCCAATTCCTCGTTGCTGATTCTGCGGCCTATGCAGCCTTCACCCCCTTCGCAGCTCCCTCCGTCGTTTCCGAATGGCTTTCCGGCATCCCCGCAGACACGTCCGCCATCCCCGCGGCCATTAAGGGCAAGCAGGCTTATTGCGGCAAGTGTCACCTCGAGGGCCGCGACTCGGAGACGCATTCGGCCCAAGATTGCCCGTTCAAGGCCCATAGAGAGGTGAAAAAGGCGAAGCACAGGGTCAAAAACGGGGCGAAGAAGAGGAGGGATAGAGATCGGTTGGAGAAGTTCAAGGAGAAGAAAAGAGGGGAGAGATGGATCAAAAAGGCTGGGGATATGATACTTGAGGATATGGGATTCAAGGATATGTTCGAGCACCCGAAAAAGGTTGAGGAAGAGAGTGCGAGGGCGATCGAAGAGAGTTGGGAGTCCTTCGTAGAGATGCTAAACTAACCCAGTTCGGTCATCACTCTCGCGCTCGTTGTGATATTTTAGAGGTGTCCTAACGTAGACTAATCTTTTGAGAGTGGATGTAAAGATTTGAAGACCGTGAACTGGATGAAGAAGTTGTAAATCCTTTTCTAGCTCTATTACGGCTGCCGGGGTACCACAAGCTACTCACATCACTGAAGAGCAGATACAATACCTGAAGAGCAGAGTTTGGAGCTAACTTTTCCTGAACATCTATCCACGGCGATGACTCTGTTCGAGCTAGCCCGTCTTACTCACGCTTTCCTGAAATGCATGCACCCTTTGGACCGTGTGATTCAGGTGCATCAACTAACTCCAGCCTCAACCACCTTCCACTCATCTTTTCCAGAATCCAACTCAGCAAGCGCCCCCAACGGTACCGTCAAAACCGGGCTCGTATGACCGACATCCACATCGCAGAGAATCGGGAACTCCCCTACCCGGCTCTTTACCTGGTCACACACCTCCCCGATCATCGTTCGAAAGGCCTCTCGCATATCTGCATCATACCCGAACGGCCTCCCAACAACCAAACCCACGGCATCTTCCAAGACCCCAGCATTCAAAAGATCGACCATCGCGGCCCGCGCACGTGCGATGGGGAGGGGACGCGTTAGCGAGCTCTCAGCCATAGGTGTTTCGAGTAGCAGAATGCTACCGCGGTGGGATGGGAAGTACGGCGTGCCCGCCAGACGTACTACAATGGGCAAGCACCCGCCTAAGATAGGGCCACGGGCGGCACCGGGCCTGACCCACGTCCATGGCGGCGAGGACTCTAGGTCACGCGGGCGGTCAGTTCGCTCGTCGGGGCAGGCTTCGTGGAACAATTTCGGTGCCCAGTGGGTAGAGCGGGGCAGCTTTCCAACAGCAATATCGGAAGGACTGAGAAGCACATTCGTGAAATGCTCGGCCGTGAACGAAATTGGCGTGGGGAAGTCACTAAGCTCGGAGATCGCGGCTGGGCCATAGAATGTACGCAAGTGTGCTTGCGTGTACAGCGCGTAGTGGAGGTTCGTGATATCACTGTTGCCGACGAGAATCTTGGGATTTGCGGATATCAGAGCGTAGTCGAGGTGGCGCAAAATCTGGTTGGCTTTGGTTCCGCCGACCGTACAAACGATGGCCTTGATGCTGGGGTCGGAGAAGGCGGCATGAAGCTCGTTGACGCGGTTTGTGATCGCAGTGGCGAAAGTCTCTTCGGTATCTGAGGATGGGGCGTAGAAAGTCTTCACTTTCAAGCCGAGCGACTCAAGCCATAACGCGGCGCGGGAGAGGGGTGAGGCCCACAAGTGGTTGAGCCGTTCGGATGGAGAGACGAAGGCAACGGTGTCGCCTGGTTGGAGTTTTGGGGGAACGATGGTGCTATGCGTGGTCATGATTAATCATACTCTAGATATTTGAGGGAGAGAGCACAGGGAGGAGAAAGGGTGGTGGGGGTATGTCGTGCTTATCACGCTGAGGGCGAAGGATTCGGATCCTTGCTTCGGCTATTCCATTAAAGGCGGGTAACAGGGGTTAGTGAAGCTTATTCCAACATGTATACTCGCTCGTGTATATGGATCTTTCAGCTGTGCTGTTCGGAATTTGAAGAGAATAGCGAGCTTCTGATACCTACATAGCACCGTTAGAGAGGTGCTTCAATGAGTTTTCAATCTCATAATTACAGCTTCTCGACTTCCACCTGCAATGCAAGACTTGAATAATATGCCCTCTTGCATACTACGGTTCCGCTGTCGGTTATGGCACCCGATGTCATCATCAAGTCCTTGATAAACATTGAATGTCACGAAGATGGCAGAATTTCAAAGAATAAATCTCATTTCGCCTACTTAGAGTCCAAATTATCGGTACGAGGAGAATTCATGAATGATGAGGTAGAGTCATAGCTGGTACTATTACCAAATGACAGCCGTAATATAATGCACAGCCTGTTACCAATTACCCTTTCGCTAATCGCCATCCCGATAGACCTGTTAAAGAACATGATACTCCGAATCAAGTTCGTCGCAGAGAAACCCTTTCCGTATCAGCTGTATGAAGTTGATGTGTGGCACGGAAGCTTTCAAGCCTAGTTCCTAGCCCAATGATAATGCCTGTCCTGTTGAATCTGAATGTTCTGTTCATTGACTCCTGTCATACCAGCCACAAGCCATCGGGTTAGCGCTGGATTGGGGGATTCGACACGAACCCTCTTGGCGCCTGTGACAGTACGGAGCAGAGCAAGATCGCAGTGAGTATTGAAGTGATGAGGCTTGACCCGGGATCGGCCCAATCCATTTCCGTACGGTAAACGGACTCCCAGATACCGAAGGGCGGCGCAAGACGCCAGAAGCTCGACCAAATCTGCTGCTGCATCAAGCGGGCGAACGAGATGATCGCGAGAGCCACTTCCCCAGGTCGGAGACCACCACTCGATTGAAAGGTTCTTAATGTTGTGCCGACCAATGTCTCCGATGTCTAGGAGCCATTCGCAGATCGTCTCGACAGTTAGTGAGGTCAGGTCGAACTTCATCGTCTGAAAGACAAGCTGGCCAACTTCTGCGCGCATCGTTTTGTTCAGTGCCAGCAGAGACCGCGCGTTCCCTAGGTAATGGTCTTCGTATTGTCCATTAACCCAGGTACGTGACTTCAGAATGAAGCCCGGTATCATGAAGGAGCCTTTGGACCTCGACATGACTGCACCTCGTCGAGTGTTTTCGCGCGACGAATTGCACCACAGATCATGCACGGCTTCATAAGTGTCGTCATACGGGTCGTCCTTGCTCATAAGCATCTTGTACACAATAATGCGGATCTCGGGTGGCATCTTCATAAACGGGAACTCTCCCCGCTTGTACTCGCTCGCGTGAGCGTGCAAGCTCGCCAGCTTCTGGTTGGAGTGTGGCCAGAGAGGCTATACTCATGTCAGTCTCGAAGGTGTTTCTCAATTGCAAGGCCTGCACTTACGTCATACTTGATATACGGCTTTTCCTGAGTGCGGCTCGTGACGGAAATATCAGCGCTCTTATCGTGGTTGAATCCGATCGTGACTCCAAGGTCGTGTCCTTCGCAAAGAATTTTGATACGTTTGCCAGGGCCCAAGACGAATTGAAGACCCTCCGGAATGCGGGGTCGCTGATTTCTCGGTCAGCTTGTTGGAAGGCGGCAGTATGTGCCTGTTAGATGTTCTCTTACCTTGCCGAGTCGGACGGATGTGCCAAGCCTTGGTAGAGACTGTGATTGCAACACGGTGGAGAAGCGGTTGGGCGGGCCTCTCATAATATGGTGGGCATTGGGCATGTTGGAAACCATCATTGGCTGAGGCTGCTTGGTGTATGGTTAGCCTAACGCCTGGAGCGTATCGCACAAGCCTAAAGAACACTCTTACCATGTCGTTCATATCCGCCTCAGCGACGTTCATCGGCGGGCCTGCGATAAGTTGCAGGCCATTCTGCGCTCTATACTGCTCGCCTTCTTGCGCAATCTGGGTATCGTTAGTCCCTGACTAGATGCGCAAACCCGATATCGGAGAAAGAGCTTCCTACCATGTCTTCGACATTCGCCATCATGACGTGGCCGGACGGGACTGCGACAGCTTGACGGTCGCTCGACGAGGTTGTCTGCTGGCCCTCTTGAGTAGCCTGTGAATTGCCAGTCTTCAATGAGACATTCAAAACGAACAATAGATAAAGGGCTTCCTACCATGGCCAGAGACTCGCTCATTTCCATCTTTGTGGAGGCTCTAGCAGTCTGAACCCTGTGCGAGGGTCGTTTGGGTTTCCGTGGTTGTCTAGGCGGGTGGGCGCATCATCAGCTTGGTGCAATGCGGCAGCGGAGAGCATTTATCCAGGAGAGATGCTTGCCTTGAATTTGTGGTGAACCCGATGAAATAGTCGTGGGAGATGCTTGTGGGTTGTAGAGTGGAGGATGGAGGAGGAAGTTCTGGCCAGATCTAGAAATTGACATGGATTTTTGTGGGCGAGTGAGTAATCGTGCATTACGGCCTGACCCTTCACGTCGAGCGTGGACGTCTCGGCGTTGAAGTCTCGGCGTTGTGGTCTCGTGGACTAGCTGGGATATTTGATATCGTGATAAAAAGTGAATCCCAGGAAGAAACTGTTCGTGACTCCTTAGTACCTTCACTGTGTTTTGCAAGTCTAGGCACATCACTTAGCTAAGAGGAAATCGAAAGTTTAGACCATAAAAGAAGTTTAAGTATTGTTACCACATTCTTGAATGTTATACTTAGGTCGCGGCATACCTGATATCATGAGATCTAGATATTGCCAGATGAGTATCAATGAGCACGTGTGCACCCCTTGTCATGTGCTCATACGGGATGGTAAGTTTGATATATCAATCATCATGAAGGAATAGAACCTTCTAACTATTGACTTGTTGGTTATACCAAGTTCAAGCTGCTTTCCAGAATCTCAAAGCCACCAACGCCAGAGGAACGGTCCTTCCAGGGTCCTAGGGAATCAGACAGAGAAAGAATGATGATCCGGTTGCCGTTCCCCATGCAAAAGCCAATTCTCCAAAACTGTGAGTTTCAGACGATCAAACATCCAATAACGCCCGATTTTCTGCGTGGAGTTCATTCTTGGGTTCCGAAAATGATAGAAATCTAAGACATAGGTAGCGCGAAAGGCAGTTCCATTGTCATGAATGAGGTATCCACGGATGCTCAGACCTTGGATACTGCTCACCGCCATTACGTTTCGCAACTGCCTGAATATGTCGGCCGGCTGGTAAGGATGAGGGAGCTGAATGACAATTGTCCCTATGCCGAATTTTTTGAGGGTATTGATGTGCCTGTTGCAAACCAAACAAGAGAGAAGTCGTCTAGGCACATCCAAGCAACGGAGAACTCTTCAAAGGTCGGCCAATTGATGTCCTGGAAAACATCCTGGAACCGCATGGGAGCGACGCATCCACCTGCGTAGAAGAATGTTCGTGTGGACTGGAGATCGAGGTGCTTGAGATCTCTCGCGTTCACCAGAAATCTGCGAAAGCCATCACTAGAAAATTGCCCCGATCGTTGAAGAATCCTATCATCGGTGTCGATTATGCTTAGGCGGAGCTTGAGTATCTAGAGCGCTCTAGTAACTTCCAGCATACCCCCGTCAACATTTTCAAAGAGCCGAAAAATAAGTTTGTCGACGTCCAAAACTTTCAGTCTCGTCCCGGCGAGGTAGCATCCTCGCAATAAAGCGGAGAGCTGACGAGAACCAAGGAAGCTGTGTGGTGCAATCATGCTATGGTTCATTCCGTTTGTGGACTCTGATTGAGATCGTGATATGAGTCGAATGATGTCGAGAGCTGGTAGCTTAGCGAGAGTATCTGAGATCAGAGCGCAGTCCCCATGATTTTGCCAGATGTCTTTTTGTCACTTCACTAGGTTTTTGAATTCTTCGCGCATGGAGCTCTCCACGGCGGTTGGTGCGGTATGGGGCTCCATGGTGAACCCAAATTGCTGATACGTTACTCTGCATAATGTTGACGGTCATCACTCCTTACTTGTGCTTCTCCTCGTGTATCGTATAGCTCGCTGAGCTCTTCCAGCATTTTCGAAACCACCATCATCGCCACATCCAGCTCCATAGATCAAGTGATTGTTGTGCCGGCGACCTGGCGTGCGACGTGGAAGGTAGAGGACCTATGGCGCTTTACTGCCTTGCTCTCTTTTCTTTGCTTTCTTGTCCCAAAATTCTGTCACTTCCTCTCATCTACTGCTGGCATGCTTGCACGTAGCGCAAAGCCCATCTCAATCTCCGTTCCCTTCCAGTCCCTAGCTAACCTCTTCCTCCAGGACCTCGCTCCTCTCGTTGACCGGTTCCCTCGCAGATCTCCGCGCGTTCCCGCTCCTACCCCGCCTCCTCCGACGCGTTTTTACCCATCTCAGCCGGACTCGCCATGGGAACCCTCAGCCCGGACAGCGAGGCTTCAAAGGCCGCTTGCGACATCCCGGCCATTCTACCGAACCTCCAGACCGACCAAGCGATTCATCTTCTCCCAGGCTCCTCTCAAACATAAGGACAGAGCGCGGCACGAAATCGTTGCCTAGAAGACACCTCTCAAGCGCACGTGTTGGGAGAGTTTTTGTCTACGAGATACAAGAGCTGGGAGTGGAACTACAAGCTGCCGGCTAAGGGAGGTGCTGTAGTAATTGCGAGTTCCATTGGAAAATATCTCCTTCATCTCATCCCCGCTCTTCCTTCCCGCGGAGCCAACGAGCGGACAGCTACATACCGCCGGAGACGATACGACTAGGGGCGGTACTACAACGGGTGGCTAGGAGAAGCAGAAAAGGTCGCGCAACAAACGAACCACTGGACGGGCGAGCGAAACTTCTCATGAAGGCCTGGGAACAACCTGTCTCCTTAGCCTGGAGTCGATGGCGCCGGAAACGAGATAGTTGCTAATCGGTCATTAGGTACGGGGCCAAATACCAGGCAGCCTACCGCTGGGATAAACCAAGAGGAATCAGGAGGGTAAGCCTGTAATGTCATCACGTTCTTCTCACGGATTGCCATTAATGATGCTCACTTCACGTTGAACCTTTTGCTTCTGATCTAGGGCTGGGCTCTATGCCAGAGGATTGGCTATTCGAAAGACTCAGAATGCCTCGAGACTATGGAGCCTCTAGAGCGGCAACCTTGCCGTGCGCTGGAACCCGGGATGGGGAACTAAAATGCGGGCTATGTAACGGGTAGGTGTCTTCTAATTAATGCTCAAAGTAGATCTACTAGGAGGTCAGAGGTCAAATTAGAGTTCCCTGGGTCGAAGCTCTTAGCAAGGGTCTTCGGCCAGACTACCCCGATTCGACCCTTCTCGCGAGGGCATCGATGAATACTCACCAACTCATGCTTCTTGATTTTAATGACAGCTACGGAAAGCCTTCCAGATACTTAAGATTCTGTCTAATGAAGCGTAAAGGTGTTAAAACTAAATGCTCGAGTCTTTTATCCATTGCAATCTCTCGGCAAAACTTCTTTCTATCTCAACCTCAAATCAAAACAAGTCAATCTTGTTCCAACAATGTACCCCAATTAACTTTTCTTTATTTCTCCGCAACTACCGATCACAAACTCAAATCAGCACTCATCGGAGCAGCAATACTCAATACGGTTAGCACGCAGACTAATCTTTAGCCTAAGACCGTAATCGCCGAAACCTTCATATTTTCACCACCACCACCCCCCTCCATCCCGCTCCCCATTCATCCAGCCACCACACCTCCATTTCCCCCCAAACCACGCCCAATTCAACCCCCCCAAATCCACCGCCACAATGGAAATGCTCAAACTCCGCCGCACCCTCACAACCCCCGACGCCATCCCCCCCGCGCCCACCGACCTCGCCGCCCTCGACGCCCAAGAGCGCGAGCTCGTGTGGCCCTTTTTCACCGCCGACCACGCCTGGTTCATCTGCACGGGGCTGCGCGACATCCTGCACAAGATGGGCCAGCACGCCGTCATCGACGTCTCGCTCGTCGCGTCGCACCGCGTGCTCGCGCACACGGCGACCAACGGCACCGTGCCCGACAACGATCGCTGGGTGGAAAGGAAGCGGCGCACGGTGGTCAGGTGGGGGCATAGCAGCTGGTATATGCGGCAGAAGTATAAGGGGGATGAGAAGGCGTTTAGGGAGCGGAGTGGGCTGGGGGAGGAGGAGGGGAGGGGGTATGCGATTCATGGGGGCGCGTTTCCAGTGAGGGTGACGGGGGTGGAGGGGGTTGTTGCTGTCGTTGTTGTTAGTGGGTTGAAGCAAGAGATGGATCATCAGATTGTCGTGGAGGTGTTGAGGGCGGCGTTGAAGGATGAGAAGGAGGTGGCGGAGATGAGGAAGAAGGGGGTGGAGACGGGGGGGTTGCAGAGTAGATAAGATGTTAGGTTTGGAGTTTACGTAGGAGAATAGCAGATAGGTGTGAGATAGAGCGGCGTTGCACAGATCGCGAAGAGCTTTGACTTAGGACTGCTTGAAATTGAGGCCGGGCTCTTAATTGGGTGAAGCTTGGTAACACAGCATGGCTAACTAACGACTTTTCACGCACAAAACGCAAATTAGGTGCCTCAAACATCATCACCAATCAGCCATTTTTTTTTTCAGAGCACACAACGATACCTCCATCTACATCGAGAGCGCATACCAACCCGAAGTCACCGATATGGCATCTTCCACAAAGCTAGACGAACTCAAGGAACGACTGCAGGATGATCTCTCCTTACAAACTTACATGCACGATACTTACAACATCTTCACGATCTTAAAAGCAGAACATGAGCTGGTGCTACCTTCTTTCACAACCGACGATGCATGGGCTATATGCAGCGCCCTCCGCGAGATCTTGTGCAGCATGCCGGCTGTCTCGGCCGTGGTCGATGTCTCCCTTGCGAACTCAAATCACGTCCTTGCCCATGCTACGACACACGGCACATGGCCTGAAAGCGATATCTGGGTATCACGCAAGCGTAACACAGTGTGCCGATGGGGTCACAGCACGTGGTATATGGCGCAAGCGCAAATGGGCTCTGGCGTCCCAATGGACCAGATCTCCCCACACAAACTTGAAGAGTCTTTTGCGCTTGGAGAAACCGCAAGCGACTACACGGTCCAAGGAGGTGGATTTCCGATCCGCGTGAGAGACGTGGAAGGTGCCGTGGCTGTCGTTGTTGTTCATGGACTGTCGGGGAGTGGAAGCCTGGACCATGAACTCATCATTCAGGTCCTAAGAGCATATTTGCAGGATCTCGCATCTTCAAGGTAGAGCAAGGATCTTCGACAGGGGAGGATTCGGGACTCTGTTATCCTGAGCAGCGTCAGAGGCGATACTAAGAAAAGATGGACGGGAGTGGTAGCGGTGCTAGGAGGACCAACGTGTGTCAGGGCGGATATGAGCTTGGATCAGGTGAGGATGGCCATTTCCGGGCTTCGTGCCTTAATGTCCCATAGAGAGTCATACTTCATGGAGCATTGTTAGCTTTTCCGTTCTTTCTATATCCTACGGAACATATGGCGCTTCGCAGGCTGTTCATTCAGTAGTCAGTTTGGCTCGTGGAAGACGGACGACTGCTTATTGTCAAATATCCCCACAATACGTCTTCACCGCTTCTCCTTCTCTCCTCCCGTGTTTCCTCTTTCCGCCCTTCCCTTTCCTCTGTCGTCTGTCATCGGCAAGGCAGCACAATGAGAATAATGAGGAGGATATATGGTGTACCGACGAAGAGGCACACAAAGTCGGAGCTGAAATGTGAGTCATCGACGGGACTGGGTACATGCATGAGTGGGATGCTGAGAACCCGTGTAACTGCATAGTATTTAAGCATTATTTATATGTACTTTGGAGGCGTGAAGACTCTAGGACGAAAATTGGGCGGTAAAGGAAAAGGAAAGAACGGTTTTAAGCTAGAATATATTCTTGACATATACATTCAACGACGAGAGCATCTTTACATTTTCTTACCCATTACTACTAGTAGATGTATAGAACAGATGGAGGCTTCTAGAGTCATACGTTGTCAGGCATCAGCGCTACAATATGCTACCTCCTAGCGGCGATCGCGAACACGATCTGCAGCCAAGAAGCTTGGAAGCTGATCCCCGTGCAACTTGCGGTGGCGCATTGCACGACGAATCCCAATGTCGGCCCCCATCTTCTCTTCTTTCTCTGCTCACTGCTGTGAGAGTACGATTGAGTCGCATTCATCTCCTCCGTATATTTTTACCCTCGCGTCGCATTGCACCCCGTAGAGCGCTCTCCACCACCGCCTCACCTCCGCACCTCCGCCACCCACCCCCGATTCGAACCCTCCTCCTTCTTCTCCCTCCTCCGCACCCCATGTCCCGACCATGGCGCGCTCCCTCTCCCGCTCCAGCGACGGCGCCAGCGACCACGGCGAGCGCCTCGAGCCGCGCCTCCTCCGCGCGACCGAAAACGACGACCTGCAATCCCTCGCCGCAGTCATCCACACCGCGCAAGAAACGCACAAGCTGCACGACAACTTCCTGCGCATCGCCGTGCTGCGCGCCGCCGAGAAGAGCAAAATCGCCGCGCTGCAATTCCTGCTCAAAGCCGGCGCGTCCCCCAACGGCGCGCCGGGGAAGCCCACCGCGCCGCTGCTGAAAGCGGTCGAGAAGAACCACGTTACGATTGCTGGACTGCTGCTTGAGGCGCACGCGGACCCCAATGCGGCGGATAAGCAGGGGCGCACGGCGCTGATGATGGCGGCGTGGAAGAACCATTACCATGTGCTCAACCTGCTGATTGCGAAGGGGGCGGATGCCAATGCCAGGGATAACGAGAGGCGCAATGTGCTGCATAACCTCGCGGCGGACAAGCATTGTAATTGGGGGAAGGACGTGATCGATCTGCTGCTAAGGAGCGATGCGTGTATTGATGGGGCGGATGGGTCGGATAATTTGAAGCGCACGCCGCTGCATTGGGCGTGTGTGACCGGGAAGAAGGATCTAGCGGAGTGGTTGCTGACGCGGACGCGCGCGAGGGCGAATGTGCATGCGGTCGAGGTCAGGGAGAAGACACCGTTGCATTTGGCGGTGAGCCATGATCGCGAGGATATTGTGGAGATGTTGGTGAGACGGTTTGGGGCGAATGTTAATGCGAAGAGTGATGGGGCGTGGACGCCGCTGCATAATGCTTGCGAGAAGGGATCGGAGAAGATCGTGAGATTGTTGCTAGAAGAGAAGGCCGAGTTGAATGCGAGGCTGCTGAATGGTATGACGCCTTTGCATGTTGCGGCGCAAGCGGGACATCTAGAGATCGTGAAAATTTTGCTGGAACGGCCCGGCATCAAGAGGGCGGCGAGAGACAATTTCGGGATAACGCCATTCCTACGGGCTGCGCAGAATCGGAGAAAGGATATTGTGAGGTTGCTTGCGCCGTTCAATCACGTCGAGGGGATGAGCCAGGATGCATTGGGAGCGTGTCAAGGTTTCAATGCAACCATCGTCGAGTTTGGGAATTTCCATAATGAGAACAGGGTCAGGAAATGCACAGTATATGGTATGAGACTCCTTCCTTTGAATGTTCCCCTTGGACGTGACATTCCTGGCTGTTGGACCACCTACTAATGCATTCCAGAACTCCTCTACGGCAAGGATCCAATCAATCATCGAATACCAGCCGTAAACATCCTTCCTACTGATAACAAAGCGACCAACTTCCGATGGATACATCTGCCAGCGAATAACATGGCGTGGGTCGAGGCACTCCTCACAAAGGCATTCATCGAAGAGGGAGCGAGCGATGTAGAGGGGTTCAAAGCGTTGGAGAGATCATTCAGCCATCAACATCGAGGACAACAGATTCATTCGCATTTCATGAGACCCCTTTGCCAGAGCACACCCAGGGCGCCAAAGTACGCCGACGAATCTGACTTTTCGGATACTCCCACGCCAGAGGCTGGACCACCAAAGATCGTGATCAACGACCTTGCGCCTTCAAAAACAGATCCACGGCCTCAAACGCCCGTGAAGGGAGCGGGTTCTGAAGGAGAAAAAAGCGATCGGTCTCGAGGTCAAAGCAGCAAGGACACCCCGAAAGGCGGAAAAGAGAAGGGAGAAAAGAGCAAAAAAGCCTCAGCGAAAGCAGGCAAGAAGGGCGAAAAGGAGACACCCAGCAAGGAGCCTCAACGACCAAGCCACAATCGCAAGCGTAGCCTCGAATCTCGATTTCTCCGCTCCCCAGGCTCTCCCGGACGCAAAGATGCTACGGCCACTGCAAGAGGCAACATCTTCACTTTCATGCCCTATCTTCATTTCGAGACAGACGGCCGTCGCCAGGAGATGCAGCAAGCCATCAAGCGCGTCGAAACTCTCAAGAGCGGCGGCTTTCGTCCCGTTGCCCTCAGAAAGGCAGCCACCTACGACGAGATGCTCATCCGCGCCCATCTCTCCAGCTCTACAGTCAGCCTGCATGTCCGCCGCACTCTGGATCAGTTCTTCTACCACAACATTGATACCCAAGGCCGCGACCAAGACCAAGTCGTGTACCGCTACCAGACCCGCACTCGCCAAGCGGCGAACCACAACTCTCACTCCCACAATAAAGACCTCGACGATGATGGCACCGTGGACCCCAAGATCTTCATGGTTGACCAGCTGTGGATGTGGGTGCTCGGCAAAGACCTCATCGTAACCTCCTTCCCGCAACGCTGGCAGCAGCCGAAGAACGACCCTCTCAACGTCCTCGACGGCGTCATCGAAGACATCAACTCCAAGACCCGCGAGCCCGTCCGCAGCGTCTACGACCTCGCCCTGCTCATCACCGGCCGCTGCTCCGGCGTCTTCGACCGCCACCGCATGGGCGACGAAGAATACCAATTCCTCGACATGTTCGAGTCCTCCATCGGCAGCGCGACCGACCGCGAAACCCTCCTCTTCAAAGAATTCAACATCGCCTCCGCCCAAGCCTCGGCCTGGCTGCAGCACCACCGCCGCCCGAACCGCTTCTCCCGCCACCTCGAAGCCACCCACCGCAACCACGAGCACACCGCCAAAAAAGGCGCCGCCGCCGCCAAGAACCTCGACTGCGCCGACGACTACGACTCGGACTCGTCGGCGCGCGAAGAGCGCTTCCGCTACGAAGACCCCATGCACGGGCCTCTCTTCGTCGACAAACTCCTCGATATCGGCGCCGAGACCGACCTGCTCGCCGAAACAAAGGACATCCGCGACGAGCTCAACATGATCAGCAAAGTCCTCGAGGACCAGCGGAACGTGCTGCCGGACCTGGAAACCGCGATCCTCGAGATCTTCAAGGAGGAGCACAAATCCCAACTAGAAATCAAGAAGCGCTGCCGCGAGCAACTCAAGACGATCGAGATGCACGTGAAGGACCTGGAGCGCATGGACAAGCAGGCCGAGCGCATTTATAATTCCATCACGGACCTGCTGGACCTAAAGCAGAAGCACGCGAACGCGTTCGAGGCGCGGTTTGCGCGGGATCAGGCCGCAGGCACCGCGAGCCAGTCCCAGACGATCATGGTGTTTACGATTGTGACGATTATTTTCCTGCCGCTGAGTTTTATTGCGGCGTTTTTCACGATTAATATTAAGGATTTTCCGAGGCTGCCGGATGGGACGGAGAGCTTGCCGCTGGCGTATGTGAGTAAGTATATGTTTGGGATTGGGTTTGCCATCTCCATCCCTATGATCATCATCGCGCTGTCGCTCGACGATATCGGCGACTACTGGCGCGAGGCGAAGAGGAGGTGGCGGCAGCGGAAGGCGCGGCGGCGCGCGAATAAACTGAAGCGTGGGAGAGGTGCGGCGACGATGGAGAAGGCGGATGCGTTGGACGTGCTGAGGGTGGAGCAGATGTTGTCTGCGCGGCGGAGTGGCGAGGATGAGTGGGTTGGGGAGGGGTTGTTACCCGTGGCGAGTCGCGGGACGGTGGGGAGTGTGCGGATGAATGGGAATGGGAAGCTGGGGAATGGTGGGATTGAGGGGGTTAGGAAGGTGAATACGGGGTTTCGGATCAGGACGAGTCGGGATGTGGAGAGGGGGTTGTAGATGGGGTGGGAGAGGGGGATGTGGGATTGATTTAGTGGTCTCGTGCGTTTGGCGGCAAATGGTTTGGTCTTTGAGATACCACTTTAGCAAGCGGGATTGAATTAGACTCGGCGTATCGAAGGCATTGTAAGTCATGGATAGGCGTAGTAGGTTCATAACGGCACTGAAAAGGTTTCGATTTTAGCTCTTGATAACTCTCATTGGAATCATTCCATTTCCTATCCCTCGTCGTCATCGTAGCATTCCCTTAGCTTGTTCTTTGATGTTTCGTTTATCACTCCGGTGGGAACTTTCGTCGCGGCCCAGCGACGACGCAAAAGTTAAGAGGGATCGACGATGAGGCGACATTATTCGTGTATTTGCGCCACGAAAGCGTGAAGGCCCCGTGTTGATGTCGTCTTGCGAGAAGCAACCTGGAAGGTTGTAAGTGTAGCTTGGCAAGTGCTCTTTAAACGGGAGCTTCGAGGGATCGAAAGCAGTTGGACACACAAATCTAGAAAAAGAGTACAAAATCAATCGGAAAATGCACTCAGTCGAAAATCTTGAACGAACGTGGAGAATTCTCTATCGAGGCTGTATGCTGCGTTAGCTCTGCCGCGCAGCTAGCAAGAAAAGGATACTCAAAGAGCAAAAGGACCGCTTGACTAATAGCCCCCACGGCGGGCCAAACACACATTCAATGAGCGTAAGGACGGTTCTTCTCGATGGGAAGACAGACAACCGGTATGCCATGGGAGCCCCCACACAATGGGCCAAAAAGAGGTTCAAAAAGGCAAAAAGACCACCCTCTGGATGGAGAGTGTAGAAAACCCCGGACGGTTATTACTGTTCCGCGACGATGGACTTACGTTTCCTCGCTGCGGCTTTTCAGACGATTCTTCGGGAAATAGCCATGATGTCGATTCCTGACAAGGGCGTCGTTGGGGGGCGGTGTCCCGAGAGGGGACACCTATTTTGCGCAGGGTTGTTACCACTGCGCCCGACCGGCCTGCTGCTCGAATTGGTTGGGGATTGGCAGAATTAAACGAAAAATATACCTAACGTAGGTGATCAGGTTATTACGTTTACCCTAGTTATTACGCTTCCGAATATTAAGATAAAGCTTGGCAGGTGCACGGATTCAGAATATGTGTAAAAGCTGAGACCAGCGTAATAACTAGGGTAAACGTAATAACCTGATCACCTACGTTAGATGAGGGCGCGCGGTCAAGCCACAGGTGGAAGATTGTGGCGGGGTGGCGCTGGGCGGAGATCTCCGCGATGTCGTTTCCAACTGCTTGCTCAAGTGCGTTTGTGTATAGTTATTGGGTTTGTGTCTACACTCTAGACATGCGCGTTCGATTGCTGTCACTTCAACTCCTTCAAACTGTTCTCGCACAGAGATGCACCACAGCTCCTCTACAAGCAATGGTGAATGTGTTCCCAACCATCTCTTTACCTTGGCCGAGCAGTTTCTCCGCGCAGCCAGTCCACCCACACGCCACATATGACGCCCCTTCGCCTCGAATGCACTAAGTGAACCTCAGACCTCGATTACAACACCAAAGTTCATCCCAATCCATCACACTCCCCTCGCGACATCCCTTTCTCCTACCTCAAATCTGGGATGGAGGACAGCTACAACGCCAGTTCTCCAACCCGCGTGGCCATCGATGCCGGCCTCGTGGCGTTGACCATTGCAGCCGCAGTGCTCTGGAGACAGAGTGCCCGCGCTGCTCCGGAGCCCCACCCGCTGACGATTACGATGCCAACCGAACTGGCTACCAACCCCAAACTGTCGGGCGGAGAGCCAAACGAGGTCGGCCTACTGATGCCGGACAACTACGAGGAGAAACAGCATACAGCTTTCGGAGGTCCCCGCAGCCTCGTCTCTACGCCCATCAATAAGAGAAAGAAGCGTCAGTATACGCTACCCCAACGCCCTAGCCCTGCCGTGGCAGGGCCCAGCCACATCGACCGCCTCCCCACCGAGCTTCTCCATGAAATCTGCTCCTATCTACCTACCACCGCCGTCAAGACCTTTCGGCGTCAGAACAAACGCTTTGCGGATATCGGCGCCGAATACCTCTTCAACTTGGTGGTAGTCCATTTCTCCGAAAAGAGCTTTGACAAGCTCCGCTTCATCGCCTCGAATCCAGAGTGGGCCAAATCTGTCCGCACCATCACCATCGAAACACCCCTCCGGTGCATGCCCCCAGCCTTCCAGAACGAGCTGCGCGCCGCATGTCAGCGTGCAGTAAGGGAATATGCGCCTTTCGTACCCACCGCGCGCTCTGAGGCTGCGGACTGGTCGGAATCGGATATGGGAGTGTTGGCTCACATCTTCTGGGAGGAGCCAGACTTTTTCGAGAGGCTGCAGTTGGCGAGCTGGAAGAAGGATTGGTTGGAGAGAAGAATGGCGCATCATCGAGACAAGATGGACTGGGAGGAGGCCAACATGGATTGGTGTGAGTGTGAACCGAAACAGGTGTGGGAAATGGGGTTTGAGCGGCTAGAGGAGGTGCGGATGTTTCGGAAGAAGCATAAGGCTTTGTCTGAGTGCGAATCATACCATGTTTTGAAAGAAGCGTAGATGGCGGTGAGAAGGCTAGCTGCCATCTGGAAAGCCCATTGCCGGGCACAAAAGACAGGGCGGACTCATAAAGTACAGTCTCCAGTTTATTACGAGCGAACGATGGATTACCTGGCAGAGATTTTGTTTCAAGACAGATGGGTTCTACTCCCTCTCATTTGTATATTCTAGTATTAGAAATGCATGTCTCTCAGCCTTCCTTGTTGGGATACACGCACTTACTCAAGCGCAATCATCCCCGCTAATTCCTACCCGTGATAGTTCTGAGGCGCAAAAGGCCAGGACTTTAAACCTGGAAAGCAACGCAAGGGGAAAGGAGTAGGAAGAAGCGCTTGAAATTGCGTGTATACGGTCGTATCTTTGTTGCGTATGCAGCTAAATTGATAGTGTCTATTAAACGCCGTAGGCATGAAGTAACTCCTCATTTTCCTTACACCTTAGATTCAAGCCCTAACTGCGCGGTCCAGATTGAGCTGCCGACATACTGGCGTTGACATATAAAATCACCTTCACTACCTCCCGCAATATCGCTTCTCCGGGCGGGCAGCTTTTAGCGTCCCCCCACCACGTCGATTCTTCCGAAGCCTTTACCCTCACCTCAATCGATAACCTCGAACCTACCATCTTCACACCTCACTACTTCCCGCCACCACCCCACCCCACAATAGAAGACAATTACGACACCAGCTCGCCCAGCGAAGTGGACATCGTTAGCGGTACAAACGCTATGGCAGCTGTTTTTTCGGAGCCGCGGAATGAAGACGACCGAGCGAATGAAGTGCGTCTCCCGCCGGTGACCACGACGTCGAGCAACAACGACTCCTCTCGATGGACAACTCTGACCGGCCAGCCAGCAGACGCCCAGCTCACCTCCAAAAACCTGCCGACCACGAAGAAACATAAGGGAGACCAGGACATGACGACGGAAGAACAGGAAGAAGAGGCTGTGGAGAGACCTAGCCTCATCGTCGAAAAGTCACGACGCGAGCACTCTCTCCTTAATCCAGCAACGACCCATCTGGAGAGGATACGCATGATGCATACGGAGGCGACCCCCCGTACCCGCACGGTAGAAGACTTGCTCCTGGCACCTACAGACCCTTCACTTCATTTCAAAACCACATGGTATCAACCACATAGACCGTCTCCCCGCCGAGCTTCTGCACTCCATATTCAAGTACCTCCCTGCCCCTTCCATCAGACACGTCCGGAGCATGAGCAAGCGCTTTGCAGACATTGACGCGGAATACCTCTTCCCTGATATCGTGGTTCGCTTCTCGGAGGAGAGCTTCGGGCGCGTGAAGACGATAGCAGCGAGTGAGCGCTTTGTGAAGGCAGTGCGATACATCTGCATCCAAAAGCCGTTCGACATGTTAGACGAATGGCTCAAGGTCAATATGGGTTATCACTGTCTCGGGGAACTCCAGCGCTTGATCCCCTTCAGCTCGGATTATCCAGACATTGCTGCGATCAATTGCTCGGACAAGCACAATTGTACAAGCTTACAGGATTACGGGGACATGAATCTTTTTGTGCGCATCTACTGGGAAGATCTGAACTACTTTATGCGTATAAGCTTGAAGTCTAACATCAAGGAGTTATTGGAGTCGAAGAGGGAGCAATATCGGGCGAAATTGGAGTGAGAGGCGCAGAATTGTCGGACCTGGTGCCAGCGTGTGCAGGACGAGATCAAGGGCTCCTCGTTTCCAAAACTGAGGGAGGCGAGCGCCGTGTCGACAATTTGAAACTTCTCTAGTAGTCCATACTAAATGAATCCACTTCTCTTCCTCTGGATATATTGCCATTAGAAATACTTGATTGCCCAGCCCTGGTTTATGATCCACACCCGTTCCCGAATATTTCATGTCTCTTGAATCTGACCACAATATCGCTTTTGAACGAATAGAGCTATAATACTTACGTCTAAGGGGATAATATGATCCTCTATGTGTATGTCTAATCTTAAAGCGAGTCGGCATTCAGAAGTACTCCAGGATGAACAGATATGCCATTAGTATTCTGCCTTTTAGGAAAGACCGCGAGAACGAAAAGGAGGTAATTGGGCGATATCAGACGCATCTCCATGAATTCTTTGTAGCCATGTGACTAACCTCAATAGAGAAGCTCGAGAGCTAAAGGCTTAGACTATCTAGCAATTATTTCATTTGCTAAATTTGGGTTATGCCTGCGCGCGACTTCTATTGAATTGACAACGTACCAGAGTGAATGTAACATTCACAGGGCTCCTTATTAACACGATTCGACAGCCGCCTTTCCTAATGCACATATAATCCTTTCCATCCACTAGATATTCTACATAGTCTCCCTATCAGGTCCACGCCCACCACCCGCCCAACCCCCACAAAATCTCGAACCCATCCCCTCGTCCGTCTGCACATCTCCCAATTCCTCGTCCAAAATGGAGAACACCCGCGATGAGAGCGATACCGCTGAAAAAGTGATCGCATCAGCCCTTGCGCCAATGGCTGCCGGTTTCGAAGTCAAGTCTAGCAATCGTACGGCGCGTGTATCCTCAGTGACACCTCCCCCGTGCAACGTCAAATCCCCTCCAGCGCAGACCACGACCGGCGAGCCGTTCGACCTCCAGCACACTGCTGCGATCCTTCACCCTCCAACGGAGAGAGTTCAGACCACGACCGCCAGTTCGTTACACACCGTCGTGATTCCATGCGATTTCGAGTCTCCGGGGGGTAAGCCCACCCTTTTCTCAAAGAAGCCTCAGTTCAACGACCACGCCATGTCGAATCAGTCTACAGGTGGAACACGTGAAAAGGAGCAGGGTGGACTACTAGCAAAGGAGAAGGCAACGAAAGCTTCTAGCCCCATCGAGCGCCTCCCCGCCGAACTTCTCCACGACATCTGCACTCGCCTAGACATTAGCGATCTCAAGGCATTCCGGGGCGTCAACAAGCGCTTCTCCGACATCGGCACCGAGCATGCCTTCTCCCACATCACCGTAAACCTCTTGAAAGACAGCTACGACTGATTCCAAAAACTCTGCACGAATGAGTCCGTCGCCAACGCCGTGCGGTCCCTCTCTGTTGAGAAACCGCCGCAATGCATGAGCGATGCGTTCAAAAGCGAATTCCGCGCTAAATGCCAACATGAAGTCGATCGCCATGAGGTTACGCAGACTTACTGGAGCGAAACGCTAAGCCATCAAAAGATGCCCTGGTGCACATCTTTGCAGAGGATCCTGGGTTCTTCAGGTCTATCCGACCTAAGAATATTCTCGATCCCACGGACTGCATGCTCGCGGAATTTGCACTTCTGGAAAGGATCGAGAAACAGTTGCGGAAGACGAGGTGGGAAGTGGGAAGGTGGGAGGGCTGCGTTCAGCTAGTGAGGCATGAGGCGAAGTCTTTGCCGAAGTTGAGAGAGGTGACGGTCTTTGATCGGGATGGGGGAGTGGTGGTTGTGGGGAAGGACTATCCATGAGGTTGGACAAGGTGTGAGCAAGGCTAGCACGGACTTGCAGACTCTCTTCTTCGTAGGACTCTTGGGACCTAATCGGGTCATAGCTTACTATGCGGAATGTGAACTGAAGCTTGTCTCGCTTGCTATTGACCTCAAGCAGATATTACTTCTTTTCTACATTTTGTGAGTCGAGACAACTACACTTACACATAATCGTTTCTCTCATTCGTGAGCCCCATGCTTCTAGTGAATATTCATACCCTACATATAAGGCTTTCAGAATAAATTTTACATGCAGATTTGTCACATCTAGATGCTTTCGAAGACTCAAAGACACTCTAATGATAATACACTCCCGCAAGCAGACACACATCCATACCTAGCGCAACAGTTCCTCTATCTTGCACACCATTTATGTCTCCTCTGCAATGTGATGTATCGTTGCACAAGTGAGAGAAGTGATAGCAAAGCCGGGGAAGGATTCGGGCCTTCGATAGATGAATTGGATACACTGGCCATGGCTTCAGCCTTGAACTATTCTTCTAATCCTGCTTCAAATTTCAGTACACGAGTGCGGGATAACTCTCAGCGAAGGAACCGCGCCTCTTAAAACGTACACCGCAAGCTCCAACCCTTAGGAAGTCCCACAAGCCAATTAAGTATCCGCATCCCAACTCAAACCGACGTACCATTCGCCCCCTTCACCTCATCTCCCACAACCTCAACCCCCAAACCCTCAGAGCAGTCCCATGCGCCAGATACTTTGGCATACGGACCACAACCCACACATAAAGGAACAAAACAGAGCACGCGTGGAGCATATCTGCCACCCATCGGCCATCCTTACGTCTCAGATGGGGAGTCTGACAGAGCGCGATAGCGAACGCCACAGCCATGAGTATCACGACTGCGAGAATAGCCAGGCTATCGCGGCGCAATGATAACAGCTGAACGACAAGGATACTCGCCAGGAATACGTTGGACAGGATGCAGCTGATGAAGATCCTCTCCTCGCGAGTCAAACGGCGCCACGTTCGTCGCAAGTCCCCGCACAGAACTCGAGGGTGTAGGTCATACTTCACTCCTTCCCACCACTCGCGCCAGCTCGGTGCATGGAGCGTGGTCCGGCATATCGGACAGTGGTTGTCTTTCTTCAGCGCATTTCGCAGACACGCGCGCCCAATGAAGTGATGGCATTTGAAGGATTTCGTGAATGTATCGACGAGGACACACTGATGTCTTGCGCTGAAGGGTTTGAGGCAGATTGGGCAGTGCTTGCGGCGGCCGCGGAGAATCTTCTGAATTGAGAGTGGGGTGGTGGGGAGGTGATAGACGTAGGTGTCCCAGAATTGTTCGACGGTTGGAGGTGGGCGGTATCGAGGCATTGTTGGTGAGATCGAGGGTTGGAGGCGCGGGAGGCTGGTGTATGGTTGGGAGATCGGGAGGCGCGTTTGAAGAGGTGGGATGATGTGGAGGTGTGGAGGTGAGGATTTGGGATGGGGTAGTTAGGAGGTAGACGTGGCCTGCTGGGCTCCGACAAATACCCGCGCGTTTGTACATGGATGTAGTCCGGTGAAGAAGGGCGTTACGTCACATGCACGGATAAAGACACTTTGAGTTTGTGGCAGCCGTCCATACGCTACTGTACTAGCGCATCCTTAGCGCTATTCCTCAGCTTGCATGCGTCACCTTTCAGCTCAACAGCGTTCCTTCGCTTAGCTGGCTTGGCGCCTCTACGCCTATATATACCCATCCTCCTACATAGCAATACACAAGAGTTCTCATCACTTTTCACCAGCTGCCAGTTTGTTATATCTTGTCAGCGTAATGTGGATCATGGGCTCTCGGCTGTTCTACCGCGGCATGAGTAATATCAAGCATTTCCTAAAATTGGAACAAAAAACGTAAGTTCATGGGCTTGGCGATTGTATAATCTGCAATACAATCTCCTAATGTTCCCGACCTGAAGTAAACAGTGATATTGAAGTCCACACTTCGAACTGAGGGACAGTGTCAACTTTGTCAAACTGCAGCAAAAACCCGGAATGTGGGCAAATCTTCATCCGAATGTATTCTCAGCCTGCTCGGCCATCCACCTTAAAACCTTTGTTCTTGTAACCTGTCCATCTCGATTCCATCGCAGCTAAAGCAGCAATAGGAGTACAGCAACAACTACTATACTCCATAAAGCCCTCACTATCAAATTTGGCATATGCAGCTTGTTCTGGAACTCGAAAACAAGGGATAGGAAGAATAAGAACCGCTGCAATCGAGTTCCGTTCTGGGGCACAAGGAAGAGGAATATGCAGCCGGCCGTTGCGAGAAAGTCCATAACGAGGACATAACGCCAATTGATGCCAAACATGAGGAGGCCGTATGATGACATCACGTAATACATGCAAAAGTACTTGATGGGATTGCTCCATTCTTCCTATTCCTCCTCTCGTAGTTGTTGCCAGGGACGTTGTGAACGCTGGTGATGCTGAGATTGGGAGTGAGGGTGCTGTGGGTGTTGGCCTTCAGCCTCGCGACGGAGCTGGCGTCGATGCTGCTGTGGCAGTGACTCCCAATCTAAGGTCTGCGGCTCCTGGGCATCCACCTCGTCTTCGTCTTGTTCTCCATGTCCAGAGGGAAGTTGCTCCTGCTCCTGAGACTGCCTCTGGCCCTGAGATCGCCTCTATCCCTGAGACCGAGGTTGCTGAGCCCTCCCCTGCTGTGCCTTTGTTTTAAGCTGCGCCTCCCACACGAGCCTTCTCCGTGCCTCCACTATTAGATTCTTCCGCTCTTGGGCCCCCAGCTGCGGACCTCTGATGTAAGACATATTCTCTGGAACGTCGATGGATGGTTGTGCGCGCTCGGTTAGATTGATGGTGATTTTGAGAACTCCGGAGGATATTAGTTGTAGGTGGGAGTTTGATCGTGAGATGGTCCAGATTTGTAGACGTTCCACGGGTGAATGAAGGCTCACGTGATATATCCTTTCTCAGACTCAATCAGCGCGCGAGAATTTCTCTGACCATGCATTGCCGCGCCAAAAAATGCCACACCCTCTACCAAGCTATTATGCGGTCCATCAGGCCTGCGGGAATACGGACCCGATTGTGGAGGCGGATCGCATGGAGGCTCTTCATATAACACGCTACGGCACAGAGGACACGTGTTGTTGTCGATGAGCCACATTGTGAGGCAGTGAAATCCGAATATGTGGCGGCAAGTTGGGTGGCTGGGTATGTCGACGGCAAAGTGCCCGCGGCCGAACGACTCCAAGCAGAATGGACACTTCCCACGTAGGTTGAGGAACCAACTGAGCCGCTGAAACAATAGTTGGTAACGTCATGGGGTTACGTAGGGCTTGGTAGTCATCGTTGCTGAGTTTCGTGCCCGCTCAAAAGTTTCGAAAGCTGGCTTCGGATGAGACGTTAAGAGAGTATTGAGGTATTAGGGAAGTAATGAAAAGGATGAGACGTACAATAAATTCTAGTGAAGTTGAGCTTGAATCATAATGTGGGTGATATTCGGCAGTGTGGCGAGGCTGAAAAAGAACCGCGGATCAATTTTTCATTCCAAAGGTCGATGCCACAGCCTCGGACCCACCCCAGCTGCCCAATAAGGAACTTCAATAGGCGATGAGCGACAGTCAGAGGGGAAGCGGATCTAGACAAGGTGTGTAGCCAAAAGCTGTTGTATTGATGAAGGTGAGGAAGTTAGCTATTGAGCGGAAGGAGGAAAGATATAACGTAATCCACAAGTTAGTGGCCCGCACAAGCTAGTGGCCCACCCAACTCAACACGCGACGCGTCGTCCAACAACCACCCCAATGGCAGCACCACAACAACAAGAAGCCATCTTTCAAGAAGGCAGAGTTATTCTAGGCGTTCAAGCCTACAAGACCGGCCAAATTACATCCTTCCGAGGCGTTGAGAAACTATACGATGTGCCCAGAAAGACGGTTACGCGTCGCGCCCGTGGTATTCCTCCACAACGCGGTGCTATCTCCAAAAATCGCCGTCTTACACCTGTACAAGAAGAGGTTCTTGTACAGAGGATTCTGTCGATGGACCAGCGTGGCATGCCGCCCCGTATTGCTACTGTACGGCAGATGGCCAGCATTCTAGCTAGCCAACGCGTTGTACAGAATACCCCCCTTACTGTGGCAGCTGGATGCACCCCCTAGTGCGTAAGAACTAGTGTATTTGATACTGTACTAGAACGCTACTGCTACGCTGCTGCTACGCTCCTGTCACTTCTCCTTGTTTCACCATGTTCCACTCCTACCGTCTTCCAACTATATAGCCACTCGCTAGAACCTCAATACAACTCATGTCTCCCTCACTGATTCTCCCTTCCTACGCCAGCTACCATACTGTCGGCCAGAACTGGGTGCGAAATTTCATCAGCCGCCATGACAACCTAAAATCCAAATTTAATCGCAAATACGGCTATCAGCGTGCTAAATGCGAAGATCCTGTGCTTATCCGGGCCTGGTTTAAACGCGTGCAAGATATTAAGATACAATATGGAATTCTTGATGAAGACACCTGGAATTTTGATGAGACCGGCTGCCAAATGGGTGTTATTGCAACTGCCCGGGTTGTTACTGGAACAGACCGTGCCGGCCGGCCTAGGACTGTACAGCCGGGCAATCGAGAATGGGTTACAATTATCGAATGCAT